GCAGTTGGGCAGCAAATTGGGCTGTTCTTGTTGCTGGCTCTTATGAATGGACGAACTACCGTCATCAAGCGGATGTTTGCCACGCTTATCAAATTCTACATAAAAATGGTATTCCTGATTCAAATATTATTGTTATGATGTACGATGACTTAGCTCATCATTGGAGGTATCGATTTCATACGATTATCGAGAGAAATTCATCGTGAATATTCGTAGAAATCCGACAAAGGGTGTTATCATCAATCATCCCAAAGGAAACGATGTTTATCATGGTGTTCCTCATGACTATACGGGCAAGGATGTTACACCACAAAATTTCATGAATGTTTTATTAGGAAACAAGGAAGCATTACGAGGTGTTGGTAGTGGTAAAGTTCTTGAAAGGTAAATATGCTCCTAAGCATACAGATTGTCTCTAATTTCTGCCTGCAGTGGTCCTGATGACAATGTCTTCGTCTATTTTACTGATCATGGTGCTGTCGGTGAGTTTTATTACTCTTATTCTGATATTAGATAATGACAATCTTCTATCATACAGGTCTTGTTGCTTTTCCACACGGCGTCGTATGTTTAAATATACGTACAAAAGTCGTTTTCATTTTTCTCTTTCAGCTTTATGCCAAAGATCTCAATACAACAATCACAGCAATGTACAATCAAAAGAAATACAAACAAGTGAGACTATTAGAAAAGTACTTTTCACTTGGTTTTGTTCGTGCGCAACTTACAGATGGTGGTCTATATCGAAGCTTGCGAATCGGGCTCGATGCTTGAGGATATTCTTTCTGACAAGATTAACGTTTACGGAACAACAGCAGCGAACGCTCAAGAATCCTCTTATGCTTGCTATCATGATACTGCACGTGGTACTTACTTAGGCGACGTGTATTCAGTCGTTTGGATGGAAGATTCCGATGTTGAACAACTCGATAGGGAAACTCTATTTCAGCAATATACCATAACGCAACAGAAAACAAATACGAGTCATGTTATGCAATACGGAGATTTAGTAAACTTAAACTCGCAATGCTTCTCTCCGCAAGGAACAAATCTTTTGTTTAGAATTTAGGCAAATCGCATAATGTTAGCGAATTTCAAGGTACACATCCGTCTAATCAATCGAAATATTCCTACAAAGATTCCTTTCGAGTGAGTGAGAATGATTTACAGTAAAGGTTAAAGTTTCAAAGTATGTAGCGTGACGCTGTACCTTCCGAACTTGTTCGAATGGAAATTATTAAACATCGCTTAGCAATGCTCGAAGAAAACTCAATGGAAAAAAGACAATTAGAACTCGAACTCGCTCAGCTGTACACTGTTCGTTTAATTTCGATTTGTTAGTCAAGAAGAGGCGCGGTTCTTGTTCAAATTTAGGTTCGAAATCGGATTTCAAATCGTTTCCATCAAATCGCCTCCCTAGCTCTATCGATAAACCGTGCCCAACATTTCGAAGCGGTCACCACACAACTTATGAAATTAACTCGACATGATTGTTATATCTCCGTCACACAAAATCTTCATAAGAAATGCTTTGATCTCCAGGTTTGTCTCTTCTGTTTTATCGGCTTCACTACTCTTTATCTCATTTAGCATGAATTTGTGCTCAATCAACTTTACATCATGGCTAATCTATGTGAAATCGGTTTGATGGACATGACCATCCATCAAGCGATTGAACAGGCGTGTGAAAAGAGAATTCATTTAACATATTAATTAAACGAACCATTCGAAAATAAAGTCATCATTAAGATTTGAGAGTACAGTCTTGTGCTCTTTGTTTGCCCTCTCAGCTACTTGATACATAGACCAAAAAGAAATGATCGACGATCAGATATATATGAGCAGGGGGTCAAGAAAAAGTATTCATATCCACATTTTGAAAAGCGCCTTCAACACGAATAACGCTTCTCACTTACTTGCTATACTCCAAGTCAAATAGTAGAATGCAGAGGCAGCATTTCTTCCAAACAAAGGCGCTCACAAACACTTATATTTCTGCTCTTCAGCTTTGACACACTGCAGCGATGTCCAGTTTAGTCAATATTCTTTAGCTATACTCTATTTTTGGCCAATCGCATCGTTGCTCAAATACAAATGACATCGAGAATCATTGGAAACATTAAATCTTATTATCTTTAGGCGTCCAACATGACGACAAAGTCCGTGCTTGTACTACTCACCAGCAAACACAGTAAATAATCTATTCGGAAACTATCTTGGATGTAGTTCAATTTTAAGTTTATGGAATACTGATGCGACGCTATGTAAATTGCGAATGCATTTGATATTTTCATCGGTATGTCTAATCCTATGGTTGATAGTTATAACAAATCTCGATCGTTTCCTTTCAACTTCGCAGAATGTTCGGTTACATCGAGTGAGCGATAAAACAGTTCATTTTCAGTACAGTAATAATCATTTTCTTAATTCATTTCCATATCTTAGTTATTATCCAAACTGATGAATCCACATGCACATTCGCCTCTTTTGCATATACATGTTTCTTCGTTTTCTTCTTTGATTTTGTATCATTTTCATTTCCTACCATACTAATGCTTATCTTTGACGCACTGATGATCAGCACTATTCATCATAGTCGGGATCGGGTTTCTCCAGTGGGTGACGATCGCATGCGCCAACGTTTACGAGCAAACGAATATCAACTGTGTCTGATGTTTGCAATTCAGGTCATTATGACAACTATCATATCAGCAACATATTCAATGATAATTATTTATCATTTCACAACGCTAACGATTTATAAATACGTAATATCGTCTGATGCATTAAATATACTTTATTATGCACATGAACTATGTGCCATTTTATATTATATGAACGCCATTATCGGCTTTTGCACTTACACAATCGTCAGTCGGAAGTTTCATGAGGGATTAAAAAAATACTTGAGAAGAATTTTTTTCTTATTTTACCAAATTCCATTCGTTGTTGTACATTTTGATTATATCTAGTTTATTTAGTTAATCTGATCAACAGTTGTAACTATTGAAAGTTAGTTTTTTTTTCGACGCGGTGTCTCTACTCATATGCACAAAACACGTTACTGATAATTCTTGATGTTGCCATCTGAATGATTGAGCTTTCGAAAAACATCAAGAATATGGACACTAGTTTGTCCTCACAAACGTTTTACGTGGGTGCTATTGCATTCGGTCGGTGGCAGCAAAATATTTCATCTTTCACTCGTTCACGAAATCGATTCGATGTCACCAAGAATGTATAACAACTTCCCTATAAAAATAAATAAACCAACCTCATAGAAGTAAAAGTCAGTCAACATACTACATAGTACAGATATGTTCCCAAAGTAACAATTGTAGTGACAAAATATTCCTTCGACTGACGATCCGAGTCTTTAACTATGCCACTTGTGATTAAAGTGTATGCTCTATTGACACCATATGGTAGCAAGCTAACGACAACAAGCACCACATGAATGAAAGTCATTCTAATCAACTGACGATCGTATTGTAACTCAGCAGGACGTAATGTTTGACGAATGTTCCGATAGGTCAAAAAACCAAACAAAGTCATGATACCAACTGGCAATCCACAAATGATACCGATTAAGTATATGGGCGAATAAATAGCCAGGATAGGGTTATCACTTCCACAGGTTCTTGTTGTAGATAAGATGCGATACACAAAGAAAACATGAACACCATAGAGACACCAGAAGATGACCACGAAGAGTGAGATCCGGTGGGCCCATTTGATTTGACTACAGTTTCGAAGTTGGACATTTCTTGATGTGATTAGAAACTGATCAATGATGGCTAAACACGAGAAAGTCACAGAGATAAGAGCAGGAACAAAGAGAAAAAACTGTCGTATTTTACACCACACATCAGACGCTGCATATATATCAATTTTATAAGTGTCACTTAAGATACGAATGGTAAGATTGAGTAAGACGTAGAGCATGTTGTCAATTGAACCCATGAGAAAATAGAAGGTGCAAGGATTTGTTCGATAAGTGCGAACTTTGGAAAAGACGAGAATATTGATACCATTTCCAATGAAACATGCGATGAAGAGACAAATACCAAAATAAAATGCCAGTTGTTGAGTATCGTCTACGAGCGTCATGATAAGAGCCTTTACTTTGAATCGTACAGTGGAATTTCTGGAAGCAACGATGGAGAAGTGAATGACGAGGAGTAGATAGTGTTTGTAAGAATTCGTGCTATTTCAAAGTTATTTTAACAGATGGGAGCGAGATGACAGAAAGTAAACGATCAAATAAATATGCAGCGATACACTCAGTTCTTTTCTATAATTGAATTTAGCATAATAAGTCCGCAAATGTGGCTCATTATACGCGTCATTTTAATCTAGATAGTTCAACACCTTGATGTAGATACAAAGAGATATGTTACGCATATCTCTTCTACTAGAAAGTGTGTTTGACAAATAGTTCAAAGGAACTCTCCATACACGTTTGCAAAAGATCGTCACTGAGTGCATTAGTCTTAATTATAACTCTTAACTATAACGAACACCGATTCTTAAAGAAATCACACAATAATTGATAATTGAATAAAACGGAAATTGCTAAAGATAGTAGTTATCTTATCAACATTACAGTCTGTGATATTCTACAAGATTTTCTTTTGCGATTTCAAGAACTTCCTGGTACGTCTTTAGCTATTATCTATTGTTCTATTAAAAGCTTCAGTGAATAATTTGGTTGAGTAATGGGCATGATTAGTGGAAGTAAATAAGAAAGAATAACAACAGCTTAAGAAAGAGAAAGAAATTTTAATTAATTTGAATAAGCCGACGGTACGACAAACAAATCGTTATTTTCAGGACAGGTGTTATTAGAGAGATGGACGAAAAACATGTATACACATGTCGTATCGAAATTGTAATTTCGATAGAGGAAAAGCTAACTTCGATATGACATGCGTATACATGTTTTTCGCCCATCTCTCTAATAACACCTGTCCTGAAAATAACGATTTGTTTGTCGTAACGTCGACTTATTCAAATTAATAAAATTTCTTTCTCTTTCTTAAGCTGTTGTTATTTTTTCTAATAAACTTTAGTGAGATATAAGCTTTCGAAGAATTGTCACCCTTATCTTTGTAATCACTTTTTCCAAAACTTTCGCATGAGAAGATTCTCTTCCAAGAAATTCAACATTTAATCTGTTGAATACTCTGCAATGAGCGTACATTCGACCCGCCATACTTTATACAAAAAGGATTTTGTTTCTCGGAATGAAGCGATCATAATACTGTCGTTTTGGGTAAGTCATATCCGGACGTTTCACGCCGTGTTTAAATGATTGCAAAGGAAATGGATGCTTTCACAATGAGAACAAGTAAACTAGGACATCATGTCGTGCTTTCTCGTTGATAGATAGTTTTCATTCCGAACGTCCTGATCATGTAATTCAATCTTTTTCTTCACACCTCGAAACCGACTTTTGAATTTTGTGCATCCGTAAAACAGAATGCTTTTCCCTTTACTGCTTGAAACTACACGGAACAACTTCTGCACAAAAAACCTGATATATTTAAGAAATTAAGGACAATCATAGGAAAATTTTAATTGTATATGATTATTATCAGATATTCTATTTCTGCTCCATTTCTTTCTTTTAATTAATTTCTTGCATTGAGAAAAAAAGGAAAAATATGTTACGCGGTGTTTCTACACATTTGCACTCAGAGAAAATTAGTAACTATCTTCATATGTACTATGTCGTTTACCTGACGAATTTAATCACCATGTGCATCTTTTCTGCGTTACTACAGTAACGCAATATTGCACAAGAAAATGATTTTGCGTCTCAATAACAAAACAAAATATGACGTTTTTTCAATATATAAGGAAGTATAGGGTGCTCATATTCAACATATAGCGATTGAAATATGGCAAAGTTGAAATCAGTCTCTACATGCAAATCACGAAATATCATGAAGAATTGCCATGTGAGGGCATCCAATTTAACAAATAGGAAACGATTGTTCAAAAAGCGAAAACCTATCAGGAGAAGTATTCGATGCAAATGTCAGCCGTCCTCGTTACCGGAAGAAAGCCAATGTGAAGATGTGAGCCTAGTTATCTGTTTGAACGATAAGCCGGACGAAAACGTCATGATTAAATTGCGATGTATCATTGACAATATCCACGTATTCGCCGATGGTAGCCAATGCATTCATTTTCTTGATACCAGTGCTGCTCAAGGTAAAGTATATGTGATTGTATCAGAATCGTTTGGAGAACAAGTTGTGTCTTGCCTACATGATCAATCTTTTGTGGATGCTATTCTGATCTTTCGGGATAGTAACCGACGGTCTCTACGATGGATAAACAAATGGTCGAAAATTCATGGAGCGTTTAGTGAACTTTCAACTATTTGTGCTACTCTTAAGAAAATTACACGACAAAATGATATTTCGATTAGTACTTTTTCGGCTAATGTTCATGATCCTACAACAAAGATCTGGAATCGCGAGAAACCGTCTATGATATATACTCAGATACTTAAAGAAACATTGCTATCAATTGATTTTCAAAAAGAACACACAGAAGATTTCATGAAATATTGCAATGAGATATTTTCCGATAATAAATTAGAATGGAACTATCGGAGCAAAACATCCATCTGGTGGTATTCGTGGAATAGTTTCCCGTATCGTTTATTGAACAGCGCATTACGAGAAATGAATCTCGATCTTATAATTCATATGGGATTTTTCATTAATGATCTCCATCAACATATTCAACAGCTGTATTCCCAACAATTCGGTGAGGGAAAATGTATTGAAAGTTTTACCGTTTATCATGGGCAAAAATTATCGAAAGCAGATTTTGATCGAATGACAAAAAATAAGAATGACTTCATTTCATTTAATAGTTTTCTATCTACTAGCAAAGATCATCAATCTACACTTCGCCTTGCTCAAAATTTTATCATGGATTCTAATTTCGTTGCAGTTCTTTTCGTTATGACCATCAATCCCAATCAACCGACAACGCCGTTTGCATCAACTGCTGAGATCAGTGAAAATCAAGAAGAAGAAGATGAAATTCTCTTCTCTATGAATCCTATTTTCCGCGTTGAGGAAGTAAAGTTACTCGATCGACGTAAACGATTGTATCAAATTAATGTAACACTCGCTGCTCATGGTGATTCCACTTTTTGTCAACTTACACATCATATCACGCGAGAAACATGTGCAGACGACAATCCATGGCATCGATTAGGTTCACTGTTAATCACTATGGGTGAATATTACAATGCCGAAAGAATTTATCGGAATTTGTTGGATTCAGCGATCGACGATCGCGAAAAGGGATACGTTTCGAACGCACGTGGTTGGCTAAAATACAACCAAGGAAAGTACAAAGAAGCCTTAAAATTGTACAAATCATCGTTGATTCTCTATAAGAAAGTTCTTCCTTCGGACCATCCTGATTTTGCAATCGTTTACAATAACATGGGAATCGTGTGTAATCTATTAGAAGACTATTCAACAGCACTATTCGCTCATAAGACAGCCTTAAAAATACGACAACAATTATATGAACCCAACTATCTAGCTTTGTATATGTCATACAGTAATCTAGGTGATTTGTATCAGAAGATGGGCGATCGTACCAAATCACTTATGTATTTCGAGAGAGGTCTTGAAATTATTTGGAAAATTCTTCCTCACAATGATCCTGATATTGCTACATTGCTCGCGAATATTGGTAAGATATATTACGAGTTGGATAATTACGAAAAAGCTCTCCTGTTTCAAAAGAGGGCCCTTAAAATTTGGCGACAATCCAATTCGTGTCATCCGTACAGTTTAGCTGCTTGCTACGGTCATATTGGCTTCATATATAAAGCAATGAACGAACCTAGACAAGCATTGTTAGCTTTCAACAAATCCTTAAAGACTACTAAGTGTATAATTTCATTGAATCACCCCATGTTAGCTGATTTGAATTATAACGCGGGTTTGCTTTATTATCGTATGGGTAAATACCCAAAAGCATATACACTTTTTCAAAATGCTGTCGATATTGGGCGCCAATCATTGTCATCGAAACATTCGTATCTTCGCGATTACAGAAAATATCTCAAACTTGTAAAGCGTCATTTGTAACTCAATAAAAGAGAAAATCAATTAAATGTTTGTACATATAAAATTCATGTGACTCACGGATTTCAGAAATGATTAATAATAGTGCAGATGTCAACTGTATCGTATTCGTCTCATCCCATATCTTTGAATGTACGTTTCATACAAAGACAGTTAAATGTCCTCTTCGCTGCACCCTTCTCTAGCAGAATTAGACAGGCCAAACTTCTTCGAATATGTTGCATCATCCATGGAGATTTTGCCAAATGAATTATTTTTGGGAATTTCCAGCTATCTATAACCCGAGCATCTTTTCAAAGCGTTGGGTAATCTGAACTTTCGGTTTTGTGTTCTTATACGATCTACTTTTCTTCGATTTCACATCACCGATAATAATATTACATTATTAAAAATCATGAAAGCAGACCGATTAAAAAATATTCGACTATGATAGATATCAAAAACTTTACCACTATGATGCATTATTTCAAACAAAATAATTTTACTCAACTTGAAAAGCTTGGTTTTTCTTGCCGTGTACATGAACACTTCACAGTTGTTTTTGAAATCCTACCTCACTTTTATCAAATGCTCGCTGATTCACTCTTCACTTCGCCGCACTTAACTTAATTAACGTCACTGGAGTTTATTTATAACATCTATGTGAATGTCAGATATCGAAGCTATGAAAGTTGCCTATGTCTATATATTGTATATGACGACGACAAGACGTTCTTCATGATCTGACATGCAGAACACTGATACAAATGCCTGTTATTCGTTCTTTGCATACACTTGATATCGGGATTTGCCATGGTGTCAGATGATTTCTTGGAGCACATGCAATTACTACTATCAAAATTACGGTAAATTCGTCAACTAAATTGTTCTGTCCGGAGTGAACCGACATTTGGTATTGACCAATGAATAGCGATGATTTTACAGAGTAAAATTGATTCGCTGTGTCGCACTTTCAATACATGGAGACACACAATTTCCGAATATGTATTATCAGAATTACAAGCATCCACAACTATCTATTTGGAAACAGACTGTTTTAACAAATTGAGAATATCTTTGTTGGAAGAACTCGAAGGTCAGTCGACAAATGAACAACAGAGAAAAAAATATACGTTGGACATTCGAAGGTGTGAACACCGATGATTCAGCCGTATATGATGCAGAGAATATAAACAGCGATATCTAATCAGATGAAACTTTATGCCTTGCTTTCTCCTCAATGAAAAACTTTTATTTTAGCTACGTTGGTTTTCTGTGATACTGAAAAATCTTAATAGATGAGCTGAAAAAGAATATAGCACAATATTTGCGTAAATACGAATAGCATAGATCCAATTGAAAACACGTATTGGATCTTATTAACTCAAGTTGAAAATATGAATACAAAATAAATCTCACTGAAAAACAAAGCCGCTTGTACCGAGACAAGATGTAGGCAATAATCTTTAGTATTGTGCAATGATTCCATTGACTGGAATTTTCTACGACTACATTTCAATTTTTTCGACCATTGCCGCGGTGACAAAGACCATATCGAAGGATCCATATGTAATGTGACAATAGTTACAGTATTGACTTGTACAGATACTGAAAATGTCGCCTGCCACAAACTGACCATGTAACAATGATTCGCGCCTATTTTCAACATTCAGCCTTGGATATATTGACGAAATAGATAGTCTCCAGTCGTTCAAATCTGAAATACATAAGTAGCTCACGTAATTATAGGACGGACCGTATAGTTTTGTGTTTTCAATTGCAAAAAAGATATGTTTTTACTTTTTTCTTCACCAATGCATACATATAGAAATAAGAAATAGAGCGTGTTCTTTTGTAATTTCTGTAGATGATACTTCGTCTCCAGACCACGGTATACCTAAGAAACATGCAGTAACGTATATTTCTCTGCTTTATTCAAACACATGGAAAAAACTCGTACTTCTCTATGCGTGTTATTGTTTTCTTCGATTTCTACATCATACGCCGTCACCGAAATGCCGTCTTTGGCTGGTTTCCATTCTATACTAAGTTCAGTAGCGCCTACTTTACATGTATCTTGAATAAATGAAGGTGCAACTATTGAAGTAAACACATGTAATAGAAATCATAAGCTGAAATATGTATCAATATGACTCACCTACTGGTCCAATCCACCCTAACATACCGATCTGCTTGAATATTGGTTGTGTAGAAATATGAACTGATATAAAGTCGACTATCTGTGTGCGTTGATGATATTCAGCACCTTCTATTTTCAAGATTTTGCATTTGCTCAATCATAATTTTCAATTGAGATAAGAGCAGGAACAAAGAGAAAAAACTGTCGTATTTTACGCCACACATCAGACGCTGCATATATATCAATTTTATAAGTGTCACGTAAGATACGAATGGTAAGATTGAGTAAGACGTAGAGCATGTTGTCAATTGAACCCATGAGAAAGTTGAATGAAACATGATCTCATAAACAAGCTTGAGGTTACATAAAAATAATTTTAGCCTGACCTAAATTTGAGGTAGTTATATGACATGTATTATAGTGCGCGCTCGGCATCTTTGAACCACTTCTAACTTTATACAGCAGCAATTATAATAAATGGACCTTTTGAAAAAGCCGACAATTGAAGTTCGAATAGATTCATAGCTATTCTTGGGTGACACAGTTACATCGATATATAGTGTTTTTACGGATTTCTACATGATCAATATTTCAATAAATAAGTCAAAGTTGCACTCTCACACTTTTTTATTTCATTTTATTTGTTGAACATTCAATGAATAACGAACATATAAGCAAGGAGACAATTCATGTTTGCAAGAACCTGTAAGCGAAAAACTGATGAGAGTCTAATTGCGGAAACGTCGAATCGTTTGTCGCACAACTTGATCAAATTCATCTTTAAACATTTTCGATGGTAATACATAAATAACAAATGTCATCATTGAGGGTAAAAATGAAACTAAATATCCGGTCAAAAATAACCACGAATGATGCGGTGACTTCATACATCCATTTATGAATGAGATAACAAGACGAGGTAGTCCTAATAGCACTAAAATCAATGAGGCCATAAACTGATGTTTGTACTGAATTAATTGTAACTTTAAATGTTCCGAATATGATAAACCCGACTGGATGGTCGAACGATTCCGAGCTATTTTAATAATAATGATTATTGTTGAGAGGAAATTGATTGTAAATGGCGTGAGAAAATGAAATAAAGTTATGAACGAATTATAAATATTGAGAGACGTTGAATATTGAACGATACACCATGTTCGCTCTTCGTCGAAGTCAATATCTTCAATCAATTGGCGATGAAATGGATCATGAAGATGCGTCAAAATTATAATGAAAGAAATAATTAAAGTTACCCATTTAGATACTTGTCTACTTTTCGTTTTATTAAATTTTACACCTTGCATCACTGTGATAACACGTTCAATGGAGACACATCCATCGAGCCAATCATTTATCGCTAAGAGAATTTTAATTAACACATCTAATAGAATACAATTCAAACGAAAAATCGACAAATTATTATGGATTTTCATTTGCAACAACAGTAATTGGATGAATTTCAGTACCAATACAGATACAATTACTATTGAAGTCCATCCGGATACTAATAAATAAAATCCACACCCAGTTGTGCGCGTTTTTCTCACGCGGAATGTTACAATCGACAATAAGCCACCGATAAACCCAATAAGAAACATGACTACAATGATCGATGCACTCATTTTCACAATAAATGGTTGTTGAGAAAATGACAGATTCGGTTTAATATGATAACTAAGAATATAATCAAGTGATAGAACGAAGCCTTCAGTTGTAAACTGACACTTTGTACCGTAGAAGCAACCTGAACAAAGACATTTGATTGAACTTGAACAAGTTTGATTTGCTATGAAGCATTTTCCATTGTTTTCACAAGGATTTTCTCGTTGATTGCAATTGTCAGCCGTAGTTCGATTGAATGAGAAACAATTGGAAAACCGATCCTGATCGCACACACACATGTAGATCTCGTCATAGAAACACATCACTTGTCGCTTCTGTCGGCATAACAATGGATAATATTTGATACGACGAAGATAATGAAAAGAAGCCAATGTTTCATTTAATAATTCATTGACGAACAAACATTGATAGTCGGGTAATACTTTTGCTTGAATATGTTCTGATTTAATAAATTGTTCACGTCTGATAATCAAATAGAACTCCTCGTGGAAATACGCGACGAACACCAGATGAAACGGAGTCGTTGTACGAATAGTTACTTCATTCTGTCCATATTTTATTTGTTTCAAGATTGTACTTTGTATATGTTTCGATGTATTGTAAATGGTAATTAGATGAATCCAAATGGGCACAGTTGTTGTCTTTAGATGATCATTAAACTCAATATCGATTCGATTTTGGATATTTTCACATCGATCTCCAAAAAAGTTTTCTTTACAAACGCATGTGAAGCTATTCTGAGCAACACGATCATCAATTGGTATGCACAGTGCATCATTTCGACAAGGATTTGTTGATGTTTGGCACGCGGTATGTTTTAAGTAACACTTCGGGCCAAATTGATATAAGGGACAGACGCAAATCGATGAACTGCGGCTAAATGAATCAGATGAACAAGAGCTATTGTGTTTAAATTGACAATTGAACCCAGAATAACCCGAATCACACTGACAGAAGTACGAAGCATTTTTGTTTACATATTTCAGGCATTTTCCATGTTTTCCACATGGTAATGGACATGATACATCTGTTCGTTGTGGATTTGGAGGAATAAGTAACTCCCTAGCGACACGATTAACAGGAAGAAATGGAAATGTAATGGGTAAAAGCCAACTTGCCCAATGAGTCAATGTTATACGATTGAAGATATCAATACGAACGGCGTAATCAATCGAAGAATTCTTTGGTTGAGATGGATAAAGTAAATACATATGATATCTAGTTCCGCAATCACGTTTGGGCTCGTGAATAGTCTGTTCATGGTACGGTGTGATTTGTCCTTGGTCATCAATGAGCATAATAATGACTTGAAAAATGGGCATTTGATATGTAAAACTGAAATGTTTCAATTGCAATGATAAACTGACACGTTGATTTTGCCATTGACATCGTGGACCGAAATAGCTTGGAGGGCACAGACACTTGACAGTTTGATTATTTTGGTAAAGAATGAGAAATCCTCGATTACAATACCAACGAATAAAATCATCTGACTTAAGATCTACAGGAATCTGTTCATTCGATTGAATTTCTGTTGACTGAGGAGAAGCTTGAGGAATAATCGGCGGGAAGTAACCTAAACGTAACGATTGAGTAAATGGATGCTGCTGAATATTATGTCCAGCGACTGTAGTAAGTCTACACATCTTCGTATTGTTTCTAACAAATGAAACCTCGTGCCCAGATTGGGACAGATGTCCTGGTACTAAACAAGTATCGTCATTATTGCCTACTAGTACCAATTCACTTCGATTAAAATAATCGACGTCGAGACACTTGCTTTGATTCCAAGCCAAATAATTTTCCACATTACCAGCTGTTTCGTTGACTAAATATAAAACACGAGATGGATATCCACGTGGATTGAACCGTGCATGATCATCTGCTAGAAGTGATATAGGTAGACAATAGATAGCATGAGACGAATAATCGTCACAAGTAAGTTCATTGAACGAACATAGTTTATGCGGACAATTGACTTCATCTATACCGTTTAAGCAATGCAAATATCTGTTGCATCGAGTATATGGATTATTACATGGCCAGAAATGGCAATCGCTTTCATCCGTATCGTTCGTTTCAGTATTGTCTCGTATATCCCGATGATCATCACATAAGCGTGCAAATGCAAACGTTTGATGCAAATTGATCCATCGATTATCAACGCTTAGAGACGACTGTGTCTCTCTGTTAGACGATATATATTTTTCGTTCCGAGCGATTGGAAAACAGTCACTGAAAGTATTTAAGAAAATAGTCTGAAGCGAAAACCATGCACTGATGCCTCGACGAATTATGTTACGGGTGTGGCAGCAATGAAGTCCATTTTGCATTCCGATATCTACCGAACAGAAGAGATATTTTGGACATCGTGTTGTATTGAAACAGATCAAATCCGGTGTGAGATCATCGTTAGATAAGGATATCGATCGGTTTGTAAAATAAACAAATTGAAAAAATGAATAAAGTATCGGGTATTCAGGAAAAACGAGCCAGTCCAATGAGCATCGTTCAGAAGACAGTTCACATTGAGTTTCACTGTATAAATATGAGAGATCAGTGATCCGATCTGGACGAATGAAACATATGAGAAGTTGCCGACATGCTAAGTTTGAAATATAGTCAAACGAAGTAAATAGAGTCTTAGTCATGTGTTGATCTCGTAAACTTTGACAAAAGGTATAAAAACGAGGGAATATGGCCGACTGAATTTCACCATCACCGCATGAGAATTGATTGCGAAATCCATGTGCCACTTCTTCACATTCAAAAGTTGCAAATGAGATGCAAAGTTCTCCAAATTCCCCTGGGGATTTGCCATTCTCATCACTAGTGTCAAGACATTCAAAACTGTGTTCGAAGTCTTCGACGAATGTCTGCGAAATACATTCTTTACTTCTAAGACACTGAAATTCGTCGCTCGAACATTGATTTTGTTCTAATAAATAACAGAATTGTTCATCTTCTCCATTAACACAATCATAAACACCATTACAAATTTCACGCCAGTCGAGACACATTGGTGAGGGACCACGAATACACGTATTTAAAAATAAATAACATGCGCCAACGGAGAAGTTAATAGTCAATGATGGTGAATCACGTCTAATAAAAGTTCTACGAAAAAGTATACCAAATGGAATTGGTTGATTATTAATTAATCGATATTGACATCTTGTACCAAACCATGGCAAAGAACAGTTGTAAAAGAACTCGTCGGAGGTTCTACCATTGCTTTCATACTCTTCTGCAATATCAATTGGAGCGAACCAATCTAATAGTTGAGAACTTGTGATACCATTACGATACAATTCTTTGAAACTTATTTTATTTTGTATATTCTCATCTGATATGGACACCGATTCTCTGTTTTCATTCAATCGTTGACAAAAAGGAATAATATGATAGAGTATTAGGTAAGCTCCGCCAGTCTTCATTTCCAATGAATGTTGTATATGTGCATATAAACAATCGAATGCTTGTTCGTTACTCGTATGATAGAACAAATAACGAGAATAACACATCATACATGTCAGAAGCAGAATGAATGCGTGTATCATTTCTATTTGAAACTGAACTGATTCAAATGAAAATAACTTTGTTCTCTTCATTCATTTCTTTTTTGGAAAAAACATGATATACTCGCTTATCAAGTAAAATTCAACCGCACCTGTTTTCCGTCCGTTTTCCTGTTACATGTTTCACGACAGCCAAAAATAGTGTTCATGAAAATTGTTAGTAAAATAATATTGACAAACAAATTTCATCGTATGATTCTGCAATTTTTTTTTCGCTTTATTTAAAGCATCTCTCGAGATTAGTAAAGATATTATTAATATGCGTAATACGGTACCAATCATGTAGACAGTTCTTTTACTTTAGAGACAAACCTGTCCCCGCTGTAGATTTAGGCAAAAGATCAATATTGTGCTTTCCGCTGTAACTTCCTCTCGCGACTTTATCGCACACGAATGGATCCAGTTTTAAAGCTTTTTATCGTTTTCAGAACATTTCTCCATGAATAATTTCTTATAAATTTGATACTAGAGTTAGTCTTTGACTTGTCAAACTATTGTAGAGAACATCACACACGTGCACATAAAAATGAAAACAACATTCATTAGGATAAGATTTGTTTTTTGATTAACACGACCTTTTTGTGTAAAACGTTTTCAAAATGGTGTTACTTCATTATGTGTTCGCTTCGAAAAGAATTGATCTTTAACTGATCGACGAAAACGCTTCGATGAAACCAGAAACGTATAGCAACTTCCCTAGAAGATCAAATAAAGACATATGAGAGTATTTGATGAAAAATGAAATAACCCACAACATAGTACAGGTATGTAGCCATACTAAGAACTGAGGAAGCGAGATATTCTTTTAACTGCCGATCGTAACCTTTCGGAGTGGTACTTGTAATTAAGCCATAGATATTATAAACACCAAATGGGAATAAACTAACAGTAACCAATACTACATGAATCAACGTCATTCTTATTAATTGTCGATCGATGTGTAATTCAGTCAGATTTCTCATTCGATGAATATTCCGATAAGTTAACCACCCGAACACGATCATGATTGAAACTGGTATTGTGCAGATAATGCCGATGAGGTATACTAATGTATAAATGGCGAAGTCAAGACTTGTATTGGTACAAGTGTTTGTAATTGGCGAAACTTGATAGAATACTAAAATAGGAATTCCATGCAAACACCAGATCAAAAGAGCTACAAGGGAAATTCGATGAGCACATTGGAGCTGACTGCATTTTCGCAAATAGGCACTTTTTGATGTAATTAAAAATTGATCGATGGTAGCCAAGCAGGAGAATGTTATAGATAGTATAGAAGGGATAACAAGAAGATATTGTCGTATTTTACACCAGGCAGTTGATGTTCCAACTACATTAACATTATAGCCAGTTGTTAGAATACGAATGCTAAGATTAAGTAATATATAAAAGATATTAACCATTGAACCAAGAAGAAAATAGAACGTACATGGATTTGTACGATATTCTCGCTTTTTTAGAAAGATGAAAATATTAATCCCATTGCCAATAACGCCGGCGATCAGCAGAAAGTAGCCTGAATAGAGTGTAAACTGTTGAGCATCGTATAATAATGTCATGGTTCCGATTTTTCAGTCAACGTATACGCAACAGACGTAAAAAGTAACGAGAAAAAGTTCAATTAGAGGCAAAGATTAGATAGAATCCCATTTTAAAGTATCAAATGATATTCAACCGAAGCAAGAACACTTTGACGTCACGCGCACATTTTTTTAGAAGAATGGATCGGTATATATTTAAGCTAAGATAAAAGGTTTCGGTTCATCAGAAGTGTACAAAAGTATTAGTTAGAAAGCTGTTGGATTAAGTCAACTGGATAAAGTTGAAAGAAATGCTTAAAACTAATCTATATCTAGTTTCGATCATGCGTTCCAGTGATGCACAAATTCTTATTTAAATATAAATGACATTCATTGCAACGCGATGCGTCGGAGCAAAGTTTGTCCCTGTGATCACATAATACATGATAAGATCATAACTAAGGGTGACGATGCGTGAGATGGCAATGTATTTTTGACTTGCATTGGTCGAACAATCTTTTCTTCATTGTGAAATTAACATGTGAAGCTAACAGAATTAGAACAAATGAAAGTACGATAATATTTTATTGACGTATTCTTATGAGTTAAAAATAGTGTTGTTGAAAGAAAATGAATATTTGAAATGAAAAACGAAGTGTGTTTGTGATAGCATACATTAATATAATTCAGCAGTATTGGTAGAAACAGTTCCATTATAACCACCAGCAACCAATATTTGTCCATTTGACAATAAAGATGACGTATGACTGCATCGTACGGCATTCATACTTGCTGATAATACTACCCATGTATTTGTGGACGGATTATATTTTTCACCACTAGCGAGAAAAGAATTGCTATTATCTATTCCACCGATAACCACCACCGATCCATCAGATAGCACAGATGCTGCATATTTATATCGTGCAGTATTCATGTTTGCTGTTGACGACCAAGCATTTGTTAACGGGTCGTACAACTGAGCAGAATTAAAAACAACAGATCCATTATATCCACCAGCTACTAATACTTTTCCATTCGATAATACAGATGCAGTATGATAAGATCGTGCGACGTTCATATTTGCTTGGCCTGTCCAAGTATTTGTCGATGAGTTATATAATTCAACACTACTAAGATAAATACCACCAGTTGTTTGCCCACCGGTAACCAATACTGCTCCGTTCGATAATACAGATGCAGTATGATAAGATCGTGCGACATTCATATTGGCTTTCAGCGTCCAAGTATTGGTCAATGGATTATATAATTCAATACTATTAACATAAGAACCACTACTGCTTTGTCCACCTACGACTAAAACCAATCCGTTTGACAACACGGATGCTGTATGTCCGAATCGTGCGACATTCATATTTGCTACTGTTGCCCAAGTGCCTGCCAAAGGATTATATAATTGACCACTATTGAGATAACCAGTATTCCCTCCACCACCCACAACTAGCACTGATCCATTTAATAACGTGGATGCCGTGTGATACCATCGTGCAACACTTAGGTTTGCTGACTTTGTCCAGTTACCTGTCGAAGGATGATATATCTCAGCCGTTCCAGTATAACCAGCATTAGATCCACCAACAACTAATACTTTTCCATCTGATAATACAGATGCTGTGTGTGTATCTCGTCCGGTATACATTTTTGATATTTGTTTCCATACTAAATATAGACAAAGAAAGAATAGCATGTTTCTTAGCAAATCCTTCACCAAGTCAGATAGGTGACTCATCTGTCGATGCAACACATGTAAGATCATTTGAAATAATATAGAAGAAGGGAATTTATTGTACTACTAACTAAACCAACTGAAAAAGCACAATTTTGCTTAAAGAAGTATAGCAAGATGGATGTTGCTCTGATGAATCTCTCTGAAATAAAGATATTTACTCACTTATGGCGGTTGTTGTAGTTGTAGACATGGATGATGTTGATGTCGATGATGATGACGATGTTGTCTTTCTATAGTGCCAGAAAGAAACAATAATATATGCGTATTTATCAAAAGAAATAATCTTCCTAAACCCCCATGTTAAAAAATTGCATCATTTTATTTTTCAAAATGTGTTAAAAATATAATTGATATTTCTTTTATGCTTAAACGTGCTCAGCTAACTATATAGAAATACTCTTTAGTCATTTATATAATTAAATTGAATACCACTGCTATCCAAACTGTTCAGCAAAATGGAAGCGACACGGTAAGCGAGTAACTTTCTTTTGATTATCAAACTTTCTATTTTCTAAGTGTCAGTCAGGCAGCTCAAAAAAAATTATTTATATTACATCCAGAGAATGTAGATTGTTTAGATTTTTCTCTTATTCAAATTACTATCATTTAAACTCACATGGATGCCATTGCGTTCGTCGACATAGCTAAAAAGAAAACAATATATATATTAAGTGAAGTATATGAGAAATCTGAGTTTCATGAATCAACTGTAATGTTAAGCCAAGATGACCGGACGTGAAACTCAATAACATAAGTTCTACACACAGCTACCTCTTCACTTTTTTGTAAAAATAGATGTAAAATCTGCACTTACAAGCTGATAACTGTCGATTAACAGCAATAAAAGTCATCACACCTGTTTGTGCAATCAAACTACCATATTGGTTTGGATCGTCAGCGAACAGTTCACATTGACTATTGATTTGATCGAATGTTAATGTACGGCAACTTGTATCCATTAAACAGCTCGTTTGACACGCTCTCAGATTCGGCTTGGAAACAACCGTCGAAGTTGAACAATTCGACTGATTACATTGATATCGGACATCACCGATTTTAGACAGTAGCAATACATTGCTGTTTTGTGAATCTACTTGTAAAATGATTGTTATGAATAGGAACAGCAGAATTGTATGCTTCATGTTGTATAGACTTTGAAACTCAAACAAAATGACTTTACTCGTTAGTTTTCCTTTTCTCTTTTGATTTTAGATGTGTATAGGGTCATGAATGTCATTCTTTAATTTACAAAATTGTTTTCATATTTTCAATATACAACAATAACAGCAATGACAACACTTGGAATATAGTGTGTACTATCAATTTTTGCTTGGAAATCAACGCTAACAGTCGCGATATTCTCGATTAACATCTTCACACCATAGTCTTCAGCGCAGTGCATATCAATCAACAATACAAACACAGCATTTAAAGCGCTATGCTATGCGTTTACCTCGAAAGAAAATGTTCTCACCTCGTCGTACACTTTGTTACAGATGTCGATCAAGAAAATGCACTTATTTCTATCATTACGGCAAATCCAGTTGCTATCGCCTTACAAGACCATTTTCTTCATCTGTTACGAAGAAATAGTTAAAATGACTGTAGATGTCAATTTTGAATATGATTCATTAGTGATCATTATATTGTTCTCTTCACATTGGCACTCGAAAACAAGAACGATTATGAAATTCGTCATTCGAAATATCATAGGAATAAGTCTAATATAAGGTATTGCATTTTATTTGATCGATGCGTGTTTGTCTATAATTATATATTCCACAGTAATAACTCGTATTATGCATCGACTGGAATCGAAGTCTACAATAACATAAATTGACATATCCACTCTTTTCATTCTTTGCTTGTCGTCATCAAACGGTAATTTACGAACTTCTTTTTGCAATGAATAATATTAACGTATCAAGCAGTTGAGTATATAAGTATGTACACGAAGGTTTAGAAGAATCAGAAAACGATTTGTATCCCGAAATGACTACGAATGAGTTTGTAAACGATTTGAAAAGTTTATCGTTGACTCAATCCGAAAATGATTATATTCAAACGGTTGAACGTTTGCTTATTCGTCTGAAAGATGCAACACCAAATGGATTATTGGAAGACAAGCCATTCGGTCTCTCACTCATCGATAATCTCTATCGAGTCATTCCTATTTTCGACAAGAAATTGTCCAGTCCAAATGCCGAATCACATGTGACAAATGCGTTCTTGGAAACCTTGTACAATGCTTGCCGTGTAACTTGCATCACGGATTTGTTTTTGGCACTGAAAAATTCGCCACATTTGGAAGCGATTTTTCAAAATTATGTTTCTCTTCTCAAAGAAGAGTATTTCTCTGCTGATGAACAATACGATTATCTTGCCAGTTGTCTAATAAACATCATGGTCATTTCCAGTGTATTTGTTTCCATATCCGAAGACCAGTTGCCTTCGAATTACATATCGTATTCATTAGCATTTACGAAAAAATATTGGCAAGTCCCAGAAAGAGAGCAACTTGTCAACCAAATACTCATAACGATGAAAATCTTTTGTAAAAAACCAAAATTAGTACCAACTATTATTTATCATGAATGGCCTCAAGCATGCCTTCAATGGTTAACATTTCCTGGCCGAAGACCCTCGTACAATACGGATATTCATATTTGTTACATTGTGCAAAAACTCGCTCGATGCACAATTGGTGTCAACGTTTTGAATCAATTGAATTGCATAAAAGCACTTGGTGATAGCAAAGAGCAGATGAAGAAAGATCACAGTGCAGACGAATATTCAGCTATTGATTTCATTCAATCGATCACGTATGCACTACTTGTCGAAGCTGACGAAATCAAAGAAAATTACCTTCTAGCTGATGAACTAATGTGCCATATTCTCGAACAATTAGTCTCATTGGTATTCGATGCAATCAAGTCCGGTTCGTTGGCTTATCGAGGTTTTCATATAACCGAAGCGCTTGTTGTTCTCAGCAAATTGTTTGTGAACGATGATATCTTGAAGAAGTGTCTGAAAGACAGTAGTGAACTATTCGATTGTCTATCTCAACTTTTAATTCGATTCGCAATATCTACGTCTGAGTCAACCACGAGCTTCCAATGGATGAGAGATGAAATTTTAATCACATTAACGAATCTTTTCTGGAGTATTTCCTTTCATCAATTTTCACATGCGAAATTTCAATCGAATTCGGATCTAATGGCTGTATTGTCGAATTTCGCAAATTCATCATCGTTGTACATCACTACGCGAGAACCTTCGTTTCCATTGGATTTGTGTTCATTGAAAAAAGCAGCGGAGGGAATTTTATGGAATTTGAAGTTCTTGCATTTACCTTCGTCAAAAGACAAATCATGTCAAGAGCAACAAGAATCATCGATTATGATCAGTTATTCACATAGCGATTCAAAGTTTTGTCATGAACTTGTCGAACATTTATCACAGCATGTGCCCATTTGGGTGGATTACAAACAAATACACTCGCATGCTATTCATTCAGATGATTTGTGGGAAGATATTGCCGGTGCCATGGAAAAAGCCATCGTGATCGTTTTGATTGTGTCGAAACATTATTATGAATCGAAATCCTGTCGACAAGAACTTTCATATGCAAGTGATACGTTAAAAAAGCGTCTTTTACCGATCTATGCTCCTGATCAACAGTACCGAGCGAATGGTTGGCTGGGCATTCGAATTGCTGGACAGAAATATGTCCATTTCGGGAGAAAGCCATTCGTCGATGCTGCGAACGATCTACTGTCGATCGTGCATACTGACAAGAAGTTAGTTTTACCTGTGAAACCAATACAAAAAACAGTCGAACAACAGGAAAATGCATTTCAGAATTGGACATCGAAGGATATTCAGAAATGGTTCGATAATAATCGTATTCATCGTGATTTGTTCACACTTGTCGGTGAACAGTTCTCGACCGGAACAGCCTTGCTTATCTATGCTCGACATTTGAAACATTTCTATCGTCAAGAATACACCCAAATCTCGTCGAATTATTCCAGCAAATTTGACGGTAAACATCTCCAAACAGTCGATTTTATCACGTTTGTTGACGCATTATGGCGCTTATATGAAGAACAGAAATCTTCTATGATAAATTATGAATCCACAAGGAGTAGAGAAAAGGAAAAATCAATTTAAATCAACAGCACTCATTCAATTTTATCTTTCTCTATATTGATTTCTTTTATTAATAAAGGCCCAAGGTTACAAAAATTCATTCGCTAATCGTGATCGTAGGATTCATGCAGTACAGATTATAACATCGACATTTTTTTTTGTACACACAGAAGTATTTTTGCCGACTATTCATCGGTAAGGAAGAAATGAAATGAGGTATTTGTCTTATTTTCCTCTTTTCGGTTTTTCTCCAGAGAAGATTATATTACATATATTTATTTTGTCTAGAATTCATCAGGTTAATGAAAAAAATATGCTAAATGATCACGTTTTGATCAGTAGATTAATCTATTATCTTTAGCCTCGTAATAACGATAATAACAACAAAAAGTGTAATTTGACTACATCTGTGAGGTAAATGTTGACTATTATGAAAGTTTGTCCAGAAAGGAAAAAAATGCATATTATGCTTTGACTGCGTAAGTGAGAGAAAATGTTGTATTTCTCGCTCATCAACCAAAGCAGATAAACGATGATGAGTTTATATCATAAACTAACTCTACACACGTATTTACCTCAATGCTGAAACACTTTATTATTGAAAAAGATACCAGTTGCGGAAAAGTCAAACTATTAGCCTTCTATGCCTTTTGATTTACTCTTATGATAAAAAGTACGCACATATATAAGGTAAGATGAATTAGACAGTCGAATCTTGTCTTTCATCCTCATAGTTTCGCTATCATGCAAAACGAAGCTATACATTGCAGTGAGTTTTTTTTTCTTATCTCAGACTACAAGTTTTTTCTACAATAACTAAGAATGAAGTGAGCACTGAAGGAAAAAGAACGGATAGATAAAACCAAGAGAAGATTCTAATTTATCTTTTACAAGATTCTGTCATCATATCCAAAAATGTTTGATGTAGACTACACGATAAAACCAGCGCAGTAGAAGAACTCGTTGGTAAAGTACGTGCTCTACGAGTAATGAAAAGAAAATGAGAAGTTTCTCGTATTTGTCGAAGGTGAATAACATACTTGTTAAGACTTCCTATATCTAACGACTCTGCCTGGAAATTTTTCTATCATAGATATATATTTCAGATATTCGTTTATTGCTAAGTACTTCTGTTTACAAAGTTTATTTAAACATGTATGATGATAGTGAAAAGATTACCCGACAAGCAATTGGTCGACTGGGTGATATCGGAAGTTTGTACGACGTCCGCACTGATAAATTCGAAGGCCGAAATCTATTCAATCGCCAGTTACCTTCCTCTTACATCAAACCAGAAGATTGTGCCTTTTCAACTTACATCTACGATGAAAACGAGTCCCAAAAAGACACATTTAATAAGCTAAATATAGACGGATCGCTAAAACTTAGTTTGATGGCCGGTCTACTCAAAGTCGAAGGTTCTGCAAAGTATTTACAACAAACAAAGACGGATAGTCGTACCGTTCGTGTCACCCATATTCTGCATATGAAAACGAAAAGTGAACGTTTGCAAATAAGCATGGCTGACCTATGCGACTATTTCACATCAGATGCGTTCGAAATTTCGAATGCTACACATTGCGTTACTGGAATCACTTGGGGTGCTAATGTTGCGGCAACGTTCGAGCAAACACTGAGCACTGCCGAAGCGGCCAAGGAAGTTCAAGGCCTTCTTTCAGCAGCTTTGAATACACCAAAGATCGAGGTGGGTGGTGTGACGAAACCTTCTGAAGAACAAGGCGGCAGTGTGAAATTGGAATACAATGATCGAAACAATTCGAAGTTACGATCTTTGCAAATTAGTTTCTCCGGTGATATGTTGATTCAAGACATTCCAAAAACAATCGACGATGTTCTCCGTATTTTCAAAACAGTGCCATCTGAACTGAAAAACATCAACGATGGAAAAGGAAAACAACTTGAATACGAATTGTATCCGCTGAAACACATGGCACAAACATTCAAATATCAAATGACCATACAACGGTAA